GTCGTGTAGAGGTTTTCTTTCATTTACGGTCGATATTTTTCCAGTCCAACTATATGTTGAAGTCTTATTTTTGGCAATTACATTTCCTTTCTCTTTCTTTCCAAAATAAGAATCACTCTATCTCCTAACTAGTTTTATCTCTCTTGTTTATGTTGTGCAGGAGTCCACTTCTCAGTGTGTATGCTGACATGTCTCTGACATGTAAGGTAAAATTGTACTTCAATGTTTTCATTACACGAACCCACACATGTATATGCATGTGTTGTGAAATTCATGCACGAACATATGCTGAGTTGTGTCCTTGGCCATGACTATGCTAATATTTTCATATGGATTAACATAATTTATTGTAGCAGTATCCGGTCTTCATAGAATTTCAGGTACCAGGTTAACCATTGTAAACTTTTTATCATGTTCTAGACAAAATGTTGAATTCACCCACTCAGGCCCATTATAAATGGAAAGCAGCATACTATTTGCGCATGATGAGGTCCTTGGCCAGCTATTGGTTAAAATCCTAAGCAACTGCTGCTGTATGTCTCCATTCAGACAATGCATAAGCGTGTTTTATTACCTCAACTGATCAAATCCTCAAATGCATTAATTCTGTTCCTCCTCCCCGCCCATAAAAATAGTGCTTTCAAGTGTTTAACTCATTATTTACTGTTGGTACAGGAATATTATGACCCAAATAAATCTATGCTGGAGTTGGTTTTTGCACCTGCTGAAGAATGGATTTCACGCAGTGACTCAGAGATTATTGACGCTACAATGGGGGAACTTGCAAAACTTTTTCCTAATGAAATATCGGCAGATCAAAGCAAAGCAAAAATCGTGAAGTATCATGTTGTTAAAACTCCAAGGTTAGACTGCAAACCCTTGCATTTGGAAATACTCCATTGAGGGTGATGGAAGAGGGATTCCCTGCCCTCGTGTGACTGAAATAATGCATTAAAGTTGAATAACTGACCTAGTGGCATAGTATCTGACCTTTCATCGATCTTGCAAAAAAGTTAACAGCGCCATCAGGACCAGCACCCTTAGTAGTACAGTACATCAGTGCTTTTGATTGTTTTTCCAATTTCTAATTTACCTAGAAAACCTTAAGTGGTGAATGATACTACTGCTTGAATTTTCCTTTCCCCTCTAAGACCTTTCTGATAAATGTCTCAGGTCGGTTTACAAAACTGTCCCAGATTGTGAACCTTGCCGTCCCTTGCAAAGATCTCCAATAGAGGGTTTCTATTTAGCTGGTGACTACACAAAACAGAAGTACTTGGCTTCAATGGAAGGTGCTGTTCTATCAGGGAAGCTTTGTGCACAGGCAATTGTACAGGTACTCACTGTCTGATCTAGTATGTTCTTTCTGTCACGTCCACTGTGCCCACAACAATAAAGAAACGGAAAAGGAATTCATTTATGAACAAGAAATAAAAATGATAATGAAAAACGAGAAGGGAAGCATTGTGGCTAATGTTTTATAGAATACAAACTGATAAAATGCATCGACTTATATGCAGGATTATGAGTTCCTGGTTGCTCGGGGGCAAGGAAGGTTGACCGAGGCAACCATTACTTAACATCTCTGGAATTAGAGGGCATTGGTCTAAAGAATTAGGGCAGGTGGTTCGACAAAAAAAAAAGAACTTCCTGAAGCTTTCCATACATGCTAGAATTTGTAAAGCTCTTAAATGAAACGAATCTCTTCAACTGAAAACCTTCCGTTATATTAATATATGGCATCGTCTTCACATGATAGAATAATCATCTACCCTTTTTTTTTTCTTTTTCCTTTTCTTTTATTCTATCTGCTTGTATATCCATCGAAATTATATTTATTTTTGGATGATTTTAGAAGTATATTTTTCACATCGGTCTGAGAAATTTAATAAGTTTTTTTTTTCAGGATATTGACTTTGAATTCATGAAGCAAAGGAAGGGAATGAGTCTTAACCTCCTTCTCATTAAAATTTAATATAATAAAATATGAAAATCAATTCCAACTGTATATTGTGAGAATGAAATTGTTGATGACATGTAAAATCAAAATAACTATTTTTTAAAATTAATATCCAAATGTTTTTTTAAGCATCTGATTATTATTTTGAATCCTGTGCATGTAATCACCTTCTTCAAAGGCTTCATTAACAAGAAAACAAGTGAGGGCGCCATTGCCTCTCTTGTGCTTATGCACCAGTCTGCATAATTAAAAACCTGGTATGACTCTCCTTAATGGCAGCCACACTGAACGAGAGTGTGATCAAACTTAAATTCTAAAGATATGATCACTAGTGTGTAAATACAAACAATCAATATACTTAAATTTCTTGATACAGAAATTAATTAATTCCACCGAATCCTTTTGTTTTATATCAATCTTTCAACATCATAGAAAGCTGTGAAAAAAAGGTAAGATTTTACATAAGAAAGAAAAGGCAATTGTTATAAGAAGAAGCCATATATATATGGAAATTGTAGCTTAAATCGTTACTAATAATTTTACGTAGTTTTTTCAGTAAAATTGTTATTTCACGGGAGACTGTTGATTAGCAAGGAGGAGCATGGGTTTTCTTGGAGCAGTTTTTTCAGTTGTGAATGCACTCGTTCTACCACTACTAGGGTAATTTCTAGCATGCACCTATGTCATTCTTGATTATTATTTTCTTTAACAATATGTTGCATAATAAATTCTTCTTCTTTCTTTTTTTGGTTTTTTTTTCTGGAAACAGGCCTGCAACAATGCTTCTTTATCCAGCGTAAGTAATATAACATTTGGAAGTTTAGTAATAGTTATTTTTTAAAATAATTTTCACTTGGTAGTACATAAAAATAATGTTTTTTCATTTTTAAAAAATTATTTTTAATATTAGTACATTAAAATATCCAAAAATATTAAAAAATAAATTAATTTCAAGCAAAAGTTTTTTTCAAAATATCACAAGTTTTGTAACCAAGTTCCAAACGGTTAATTTCTCTAAAACCCCATCATTATTAATTTCTCTGAAAAGAAAAGGAAGAACTGGAAAGATCTAAGAAACAAGGTTAGTGTTTTCCCCTCATTAATTAAGAAGGAAAGAAGTTATCATGCATTAACATATACTAGATATGAACTGAACAGCTATGCATCAATTCAAGCAATTGAAAGGCCTTCACATCGAGACAACATGCAATGGTTATCATACTGGATTCTGTATTCATTTATATCCCTCTTCGAGATAACATTTCTGGTATTTCTTCAATGGTACGTGTAATTAAGTGCTAATTAGTACACAAATCTCCCAATAATATAAAAATACATTTACTTAGTTTTTTTTTTTCCTTTCTTTTATAGGTTTCCATTCTGGGGACTGATCAAGCTTCTGGTTCATTTGTGGTTAGTGCTTCCTGTTTTCAATGGGGCAACTTTTGTCTATGAGAATTACATGCGAGACTACAGAAAGCTTAATGGCTTATTAAACGACTTGAGAAAAATGATCCCTGGTGAAGGATTTTAATTAATTATGCCTTAATTCGATCGAGGAGAACAATGAGCATTGACAACATGTTTTAAATGTACTTGTAAGTAACGTTTTTTTTTACTAAAATCTGATCCAATTTCTTACCTTAACCCTAGAGATGTATCCTATGTATGGACTGGCTGGTCTGGTCACCATTGCAGACCAATAATATCAGCAATGTCTCCAAGTTTCAGTGTCTGTATCACAACAAGATTGGCAAATATGACCTTTTGGGCAAGCTGGCTCAAGAATCCAACAAGTTTCTACAGTGAAATCTTGCTTTATTTTCCAGGAAGGATAGATGAGAAGAAAGATCGGAAAATGTGAACGATGGAAAGGAAGGAGACGACCCTTCCTTGGTTTATACGTTACTCCCAAACTACGTATAAAAACACTAGACGAATCCAAATTAACATCTGAGAGGATAAAAAGGGATGAAGAATAATTTAGTCTCAAGCTATCCTGAGATAAAACTCCTGAGACAAATCATATTCAATATAAATTAACTGTTTATTTCTCTCAATTAAAAATATCATATTATCAATCATCTTGGTAAATAAACACTTTCTGCCATGGTTATAAGCTGCATCTGTTTTGAAATATTCATACATGAATGTTTTCCCATAAAAAGAAAACGTACTTGCACGGGTGCTTCTGCCATTTATTGAGAGATAAAAGGGAACAATCCTCCCATCTACCTTACAAACTTGAAACAAAATAGTTAAAAAGATCTTGATTGATAGCCCGCAATCTTCCTGCTTTCTTGGAATCTCTCTTGAATTTCAAGGATATTTGAAAATGTAGTAGTGCTTACTTTTAAAGTATTTTTTTTGTTAAGAAATATATTAAAATAATATTTTTATTTTATTTTATTTTATAAAATTTATTTTGAATACCACCTTATCAAAACAATTTTAAAACATAAAAAAAATTCTAAACAACCTTTTTTTTTTTTTTAATTTTAACCCACTTCTGTTTGGACCATGGGCTTTTTTCTTTTCGTACAACACATCCCTTTATTTTTCCTAGCTTACCATGTTTAGCCCCTCCCTCCATTCAAAATTAAGCAAAGTTAAACCTCTCTTTATTTCATATACTTTAACATGCATGAGGAAATATGTTCTTCTATTTACTGTGGCCTGAGACTCCTGAACACTATAGATTTATTGTGTCCATGAGCTTTTTTTAGGCTAATTTGACTAAAATTATTAAGTAAGGGTGAAGTTAAAAGATAAAGAATTAAAATGAAACATGTAAAGAAGATAAGTGGTATTTTAGGGAAAAAAAATTTGAAACCTTCAAATTAGTCCTCATTCTTTACTAATTATAACAATTGGGTTCCTTAAATTTTTTAATTTTCAACAAAAATCAATTTTTTTTTCCAAAACTTCATTTTCTTTTTTTAGTCTTTAATTTAAGAAAGAAAAGAGAAAATCTTCGGTTTTTGTTTCCAATAACAAAAATAATTGATCTTTAAGTCAAGTTTTCATATGATGAAATGAGTTCAATTTAGGTGTGTTTATACTTTAAAAATACCTAAATAAACAGATCTTAACTTAAGAAGATTTTTAATTTTGAGTTGATTTTGGGTTTTAATGTGGTTTGGGTCTTGTTTAGGCCATAAATTTATTTAAAAAGGTTCCTAATGTTCTTTCTAAGTGTTTTGAGTCAAAAATAGATTGAAAATAGGTTTTTAAATAAAAAAAACCTTCAACCTTAATTTTCTAGCCCCACAGTTCCTTATCTCTTGGCAAAATTAGATGATATATTATCTATTTTATTTTTTTCAAAACAAATAGGGCGAGTAACATATTAGCCTCCTCATCTATGATAAAAAAAAAAATTAATGACTCAAGTGTGTAGGCCCTTGTTAAATGGACTAAGCCCAACAATGTTTGCCATTTTCTTCTTCTTTTTTCTTTCTAATTTTTTTTTCATTATTATTTTTTATATGTATTTTTTTTAGATTTAAATTAATGTCCCTTCTCTCTTTTATCTTGTTCTTGTATCATCTTTTAAATAACAATTATTTTTTAATTATTTTGTATGTATTTAGTTTTTGAAATAAGTATTTTAATTCATATATGATTTTTTTATGTTTTATATAAATAAAAAGTATTTATTTTTGGATAATATTTCTAATATGTGTAATCTTATATAATATTTTTTTTATTAAATGCATACAAAATATGATATTTACCTGTTTGCGTCCACTGAACTTGTTTATTAAAATCAATAAAAGATAATAAATGTAAAAACACATATGATACATAGTGAATAAAATAAAAGGAAACAAAATTATGCATGGTCAAACATATTATATATATTATTTCAAAATAACTATTTATTTTTACAAGATAAAGCTTATCTGTATAAAATGAAATAAAATAAAAAATCAGCAAAAATTAAATACAAAACAACAATTTTTTTTTTGAAAACCTCTATTAAAAAAAGAACTTGCAAAACTCATGGTATAGATAATGAGATCGAGATAAACCGATGGAAAAGAAATTGAAAGTAACCATGAAACCAATGTTTTTTAAATAATGTAAAATCATAAAAAGAAAAGAAAAAAAAGGATTTCTAACTGTATTAACTTTTAAAACTTGTAACTCATGTCATTAGATTGAAAACATAACAAATAAAAAAATCATGAAGCCTAATCTCGAATAAATCAAACACCGAAAGATATAATTGGAAAAATAATCAACCATATAAAAAATTATAATTAAAAGAATGAGAGTGAAAAAAATAAAAAATAAATTTGAGGGCATCAAAATAATTTAAATTTAAGAGTTAAATTGAAAAGAAAAAAAAATTAACAAAAGGAAAAGGAAAAGAAAATAAAAAGAATGGGGACTAAATTGGAAGAAATAAAACAACATAAGCTTTGATTGAAAGATCAAATTGAAAACAAATAAAACTTTAACAAAAAAATCAAGGATAAAAATGATAAATTAAAAGAATAAGGAGCCAATTGAAAAAAACAATACATAACAAATTGTAATTTAAGGACTAAATTGAAAATATAAAAATTTCTTTCTAAAAGGGCTAAGAATGAAAATGAACAATAAAAAACATAAGAGCTGGAATTGAAAAATGAAAAAAAGAAAAAGAAAATAGAAAGGATAGACATACAATTTTTCTAGAAGATAAGAAAAAAGAAGGATGGAAAAAAAAAACTACTTGTAACAAATCACCTTTCATCCATGACTATATGCAAGACTAAAAGGAAAAAAATGTATTAATACTTTAAAGGACACGGTGAAAAATCAAGTTTGGCTATCAAGTAACGTGGCACATGTTATCTAAAAAGCGTGAATACTATCCACAAACTTACGTATAATAAAAACACATTAACAACTTTTCTGGTTTAAAAATTAAAAAAGCAATGTAAAATTGTCAAAATGCTCTCATTACCTTAAAAATAAAAAACAAGCTAATTTGAAAGGACTAAAATACTAGTAAATGCATAACTTATTTTTTTTCTTTTTGAAAGCAAAGATGTATTTTAACTGTAACCTAAAAAGGAAAAAACCAAAAAAAACTCTTAATCAATAGCTTAGGTATTTTTTTTTTTTTTTTACCTTGGAGGTAAAGAAATACTTTTATTGTTTTAAAGTTTGTGAAAAGATAAATATTATTTGGTCAATAATTCTAAATTTTGTTAATCTTGTAAGTAGAAAAGCATTTTCACCATGCAAAATATTAAAAAAGACTAACACATTCTCAATTAATGTTAATGAACAATGAATCTATTTAAAAGATTAAAATACCCTCAAGACTAAAATTTTTATTTTTCAACTCAATGATAAAAAAATATTTTTATTGTAGTAATCCATAATAATGGATATATAGCCACAATAAAAAAACTCATACCCTACATGTGTTTTTTTAACAAAGTATTAAAATGTATTTGTTTTTATATTGAAAATCCACTTTTGAAAATTTTTAAACTTTATTTTACATAAAAATAACTTTTTTAAGATTTTGAATCTATGTTTACAATTAAAAAAACCACGTCAATGTGTTTTTGTTAATATATTTTTTTTCTAATAAGAATATTAGAATATGTTTGTTTTTATATTCAAAAAATGATTTTAAAAATTTTTAAATTTTATTTTGGTTAAAAATATTTTTTTTCAATTTAAAATTATTTTGGTATATGAATTTCAAAAATATATTTAAAAAATATTATTTTAATATATTTTTAGATAAACAATACTTGAAAAAATAATAAAATTTCACTTTCATAAATAAATTTGATCATATGACAAAGAAAAAAGAAAAACTATTTGTGGGCAGAGATTTGACACCTTGAATATTCAATTGAAGCTGACGACCACAAATAAAAAAAATAAATAAAAAATCTCCAAACTGAAGCTTGAGAAGTGGAGTGTTATTATTGTCTTTGTTGATAACCCAATCCAAACCAAATGCCACTCTCCCTGCTCTCAAGTTCTCCACCCATCAACCATGCCAATATTCTCTGTAACTCAAGGATCACTCACACTTGCAGGCCTCTCTGCCTTTCTCTCACAACACCATCATCATCATCAACAACAACAACAAATCTTCGCTACTACTGATCATGCATCTCCATTTTTCACTTTAACCTCTCCTCTCTTCATTCCTCCTTCAAGAACTAGACGTTCAACTAATAATATTACTGCTAAATTCTCTGTCTCTGCCAATGCCAAAGCTGAAAATTCTAGTGAAACAGCTACCACCACTGCCACCGACGAAGTTCTTGAACCATCACCTGATGATTTGCGACAGGCTCGGGTGTGTTGTTTTGCTATCTTTATTCTTGTTTCTTGCTTGCTTCATATCTTGAAATTTCCATTTTTTTAATGTTACTTAATGATAAAAACTAACACAGTGTTTGTACAAAGAAGTAGAGGTCTGCTGATTGGAAGGCGGTAAAGGCATACTATGATGGTGGACACATCTTGCAGGGAAGGGTTGAAGGATTCAATGGTGGTGGCTTAATTGTTCGTTTTTATTCTCTTGTGGGTTTTCTTCCCTTCCCTCTGTTGAGCCCTTCACATTCTTGCAAAGGTACTTTGCCCTTCACTTGCTTTCTCATTGTACTGGGTCTCAGAGCGTGCTCTCTCTTTTCACATAAATTTGATATCTGGTTATGCAATTACGAGTTTGCGAGTTATTACTTGGTCAAGAGTACTTGCAATTCATAGCTGCTGGATTTTGTACTCACTTTATCATCTCAACTCAACTTGTTGTCTCTGAAATCATCTTGAACCGAATTCTAAACTAGGTGGGCACACATTTGCTGGTAGAAACCCATGTTTTTGAAGTAGTTCTTTCTTTTTCCCACAAGAGTAGCGAGTTTAGGACAACAAATCAATGTTCTGATCATTTCTGTATTATCTCTTACTTTTGGTTTTGCCCTTTATTATATAATGGGTATTTCGGCAGCCGAATACAATTTGACTTGCCTGCAATTTTTAACTAAAATGATGATATTGGGTTACAGGGAATGCTGTGATGACTGTTCTTTTCACTTTTTTATATGGAAAAACATTAGCAGACAAGGTGGAATGTTTTAAGGAGGATTGGAATTTGAATTTTGATTCTAATGTTTTTCAGTAACTCCTATTGAACTTTGCAGTTCTCCATTTATGTAGGCTAAGCATCACCTTCGCTGATACTCCTAGAAATTTCTCTGTTTTCCTTGTAACTTCTCCTTTTCTATCATACATTGGCATTTTCAGTGAACTTCTGCTTTGGAAGTGGAGTAGTGACTGAGAGCTTGTTGCAAAACTATGTCTTTCTGATTTTGTGATTACATTTCATGTAGATCCACAGAAGACTATCCATGAGATTGCAAAAGATTTGACTGGTTTACTCATTTCCGTGAAGGTAATGATTTTCTTCTATCTGTTTTGCTAGAATTGAAGTGCAAAAGAACTTAATTTTTCCTCATGGGGGTGTTAGACTTTATTTAGTTTTATAAATGCATGTAGCCTGTAAGCTTGCACATGTCTTTTGGTGTACCTTTGTCCTGTTTTCGTAGTTATTAAACATTGCCAGGAACATGTAAATGAAAATCCCATGACCATATTTGCTGTTTTCCTTTGTAAAACAGTATGATGGATGTGTTATATATATATATATGTATATATATATATATATAAGCGATTAGAGGGGAAATAACTCTTCTCTCTCAAATTAAGGAAAGTGACTTTAGCATAAAAAACTTAAAATGGGGCAAGGTGGAAAATATTATGATATTCTTGTGCTGAATCAAGCCCTATTTGGCTCTTCCGTGAAGGGTCTTGTACTGAAGTCCTGCCAGTGTTTTGCTAACAGTCTTGCATTATGCAAAGCCATGATTTTGGATGTCTTTCAAATGCATTTTGAAAGGCCCATTCAATTCATGTTAAAAAAATTTCTTTGTGATCGAGCCATTGAGTTATCACATTTCCATTATTTAATGACCATGGCTCATGATTGCCCTGTGATATGGACAGGCACTGTGTTTTTTGACCACTTCTATTAGGTGACTAGATCATTGTTAGGAGTATCCTTTTGGTGGCGTTTGAATTGTGTTATCAAAACCATGATTCTAAGTGTCTTGTAAATCCAAATCATGGTTTCAATTTTTTTTTAAATCAAACCTGCTTCTTCTTCTTTTTAACTCTCCCACAACTTCAAACACAATAGTTTAAACGAGCAAATGTATGCATAAATGCAGTGTCCAATAGGATAGAGAGAAGTTGAAGCCTAGCAAAGAATAAATGCAGAACTTAATATAGTATTTAAATACAAAATGACTACAATAAGAGAAAATTAGTGGTTGATCAAACTGATGAGTTTCAGCATTCCAGATGATGAACACCTTACTTAGCAGTGCTTAGATTTATTTCTTCTTGAACTATAGGTTTGTGTTTGTTATGATGATTTTCTGAAGATTTTACTTTCTTCACTTAACATTGACTTGGAAGAAGTAATTGCTGAACATGGAGGAACTGTTTGCTAGTGATGTTGATGTACACCATTGAGCACAAAGATTCTGTTTTATTTTTAAAACATTAACACCCCCCCACAACCCCCCAAATAAAAAACAATTGTTTTTAATCTCAATGGTGATAATAAGAAATCTAGAACACCTGAAATAAAAGTGAAAATGGTAAATAGCAGACTTTCTTAGAGAAGTGCTTTTCATCTCATGTCAAGATGCTTCAGTTCCTCCTGATACGTTTCTTGTAACTGCTTTTCATCTTGCTCCTTGTTCTTTTTTTCCCTGCTTCTCCTTGCCTGGTAACAATTCGACATTTCATTCAACTCTAGTGATGTTGGTATACTTCTCAAACATTTAGGTAATCCACGCTGAAGAGGAGAACAGGAAATTGATATTCTCTGAAAAGGAAGCTGTCTGGTCAGAGTTTTCTAAAGGAATTAATGTAGGGGAAATTTTTGCAGGAAGGGTTGGTTCTGTTGAGGACTATGGTGCTTTTATTCACTTGCGTTTCCCTGATGGTAGTCACTTTCTCTGTTTGTATAGCCTTCTTTCTGTCCATTGAGATTTATAATTTTGCAAGAATTATTGGTGGCGTCTTGAAACTACAATACAGGTCTGTATCATCTCACTGGACTAGTACATGTGTCTGAGGTTTCATGGGATTTAGTTCAAGATGTAAGGGACATCCTTAATGTTGGTGATGAAGTAACAGTCAAAATCATTGATATAGATCAGTAAGTCTTTTTTGCTTCTCTCCCATTACTATTTGCATTGAATGAATTCTCAATGAGACATTTTCAGTAGCATGCAACCAATTGTTCCTTGTACAGTACTAAAGTGCCCAGACCTTTATTTGGTGTGTACGCCATGGGGTGTTTTATTGCTTTGAGGATGTTATAATCAGAGTTTAAACACAAGAACATGCCAGTGAAATGCGATTTTCTTTTTTTTTGAAAATAAGTTTTCAGAATTTGATTGACGATCTTATATTTTATTTTTGTAATGCAAGGTCCTCTTCCTCTCTTTTTTTGCATAAAATTGAATCCTTGTGGCATAGGTCAATGGGTAGCCTTTTAATTACAGGTTTCATTTTTACACCTAGTTTGTGTCTATTCAATCCATGGGCTATTGATCCAATCTACTCAGTTTCCTTGTGTGATCAATGGACATACCTTTTAAGTAAGATCATTTATCTACCTGGTATGGTTCCTTGTGCATGAAGGTCCTAAACATCAATCCTAGTTACCATAACCTGAGAGGATTCTAAAAAGCAGAGAATTGAGAATACTTTAAAACATACACCGATTAAAAAGTGAAAAGGAAAAAGCTGTTGCTATATAGAGTTCTAACTCTTGTTTTCTTTTGAAGAATTAAAATGTAAACGTCAAGAAATTTGCATAACAATCCCTATGGTTCCTTTATGACTAATCCATTCTTTATCATATCATTAAAGTCTATCTTGATTGGTTTTCTGAAAGAGGACATGGCTAATTCATTTTTCTAGCTTAGCATTACCTACATTAGGCAACCTAATGGGTTGGAATCAGCTTAATTGTCACCGTGTTTGTCTCTGATCAGCTGTTTTCCTTTACTTTGCCTCTTACTGTAATATTATAATTGCAAATAAATGCAGGGGAAAGTCAAGGATTACATTGTCAATCAAACAATTGGAGGAAGATCCACTGCTAGAAACTTTGGACAAAGTGATTCCTCAGGTTTGTAAGACTACGTTACATGCTCCATCTACATAATTAAAGCTTCTATTTTGAATGGATATTTATGTATTACAGGATGGTTCGATTACTCCTGATCCTCTGAGCATGCACAACAGCATTACTATTGAACCTCTACCAGGGCTTGAATCAATATTTCAAGAGTTAACACGTGAAGATGGGTATGGTTTTATCCTCCATCAAAGAAGTTCATTCTGAAGATTTAGGGTTTGATTGCAAATATATCAAACCAAAGTTTCCTTTCTCAACATGAACGTAATTTCCAAGCTTCATAAATTATCTGTATCCGTCCTCATATTATTTTTTAATCTGTTTTCCTTTTAGCATGCATCTTTTATGAATCTATGGGACTTTTATATCACTATATGCCGACCCTATTTCATTTGAGACTCTTCTATGAATAAATGGTTTAACTCCAACTATGAGTAGACTTTAAAAATATTTACATTTCCTTTTATACTCATTGAACTTACCATGATTCAGAGTAGCAACTTATTCGGCTTTTCTTTGTATCATTCTTGTCCAGCATAGATGAGATAAGAATTAGCAGACAAGGGTTTGAAAAGCGTGTTGTTTCACAAGACCTGCAACTTTGGCTTTCGAATGTGAGTTGCTCCCGTTTAGGCGACACTATACCGTGTTTCCTGTGCTGTGTGCTCATTATATTTTATTATTCTCATCCCAAAATCATTCCAATTTAGGCCACACTATACTGTGTTTCCTGCGCTGTGTGCTCCTTATTATTTTTTATTATTCTCATCCCAAAATCATTCCACAGGCACCACCTATAAATAGGAAGTTTACCCTCCTTGCTCGTGCTGGAAGGCAGGTAGGATATGTTTGTCTTTTCACCCCTCCTCGTCGATATGGTCTCCCTATCTCTCTCTCTTATTAATTTTTGTATAATTCAGGTGCAGGAAATACAGCTGACAACAACACTTGACCAAGACGGTATCAAGAAGGCATTGCAGCGAGTGTTGGAACGAGTTCCATGATGGAGATTCTTGTATTCCCAGTTACTTCATGAGTATTCTTTTCTTTGTTCTTTTTCTCCTTTTCTTCTGTATAGATGTTACTGCATACTCAAATTCAGCTACTGTATGTACAGTATGTTGTTCCAAAAATTTTCTGATTTATAAATTATAAAATCTGATTCTTGTTAGAAGGGTGTTGATTTTTCCGATAGATGCTGCTCTACCCGCCTGCAAGAAGTAGAATATAACCCATCTAAGAAGTAGGCAAACTATGCTTCTTGTCCCCTGATCTAAGATGGCTTTCAGAAAGTTTTCGACAACTAGCAGGTGTTTTGATACGGTATAGTAAGTAACGAGGGACATATCAGCAAGTGGTGCTTTCTGGACTTGGGAAAAGTCTGGCTTCGTCTAAGTAGCTGGGTGCACAGTTCTGGTTGCTGCGTTAGGTGCAAGTAAAATTTGATCCAAATTCACTTAGTACAAGGATCCACCGATGTATAAATTGCAGCTAGAGGCAGTCTCTTTTTTGTCTTTAAAATGAAGATATTTGCCCACCATTATTTATAAAGGAGATTATAACAGTAGGAAAGAAGAGACAGCAGTGGCAACGAAGTTGGAAGCGATTAGTGCTTCGCTTGGAGCTTCTTCCACCATACAAGAAGACAATGAATGTATTGATAGTATTGCAGGTCACAGATTTCAGGTCACCTGATGCTGCTTCGTCTTCACATGGTTTCTATTTGAAGAGTAGTTCACTAGTCTTTTTTTCCCAACGCTTCACAGCGGTAAATACCCGTGATTCACAACGGCCGGTCAATTTTCCTTTAAACATAAAATCAATGCTAAGAAAAAAATTCTGTTAACATAAAAAAATGTTAAGAAAATAAATAAAAGACCCGTGTCATCAATCAAATAGCAAATCTAATATATAAATAAAAAATATAACAATAAAATATAAAATGATGAAAAATAATAACAAAAAAAGGTTAAAAATAAACAAGATCTTGTTTGGAATATTAAAAAATTCAATGTTAAAGGTAAAAATAAAAAAAACTCAGTTAAACAAGGTTAAGTCACAAATTCCATGATAACTAATATAACATCGAGATAATCTTAGTAAATTTATTGATGAACCTTTGAGAGCTTGTTTCTTGCATTTTGAAATCTGAAGCAGTCATATATTTTTTCTTTTAACAGAAAATGTGGAGAATTGCTTGTATCCTGGGACCGATAGCTGCCATTTGCTATGTATGAACAATGCAGGGGGGATACAATTGCCCATGTCCTGCTGGGTATTATAGAACTTATAAACAATGCTACCAACTCAGATCAGAAACCAAAAAACCTAGATCTATTTGTTATAGGTATGCAGATTTTGTTACTGTATCATTTTTCCTCGTGTTAATCTATATTATTGTTCCAATCTGAAGCAGAAAAATGAGCTTTCGAATGTACTCGGTTCGACCATACGGTACAATCCTACGCATTTCTATGTGGGAAGCTGTCATGCATTTTCATTTTTTTCTATTTCCAAGCTCATATACATAGATTGGAAGGCTTGACTTGAATAAACTTGACTCTATATATGTGGGTTTTTCAGTATGTAGATCCGTTCTTGGATTAATGTTGCTTCTTATCGGAGCATTGTGGTTGTACAAGTTGATTAAAAGAAGAAAGGTGATTAAGCTGAAGCAACTGTTTTTCAAAAGGAATGGTGGGTTATTATTGCAGCAACAACTTTCTGCAAGTGAAAGCAATGTTGATCGAACAAATTTTTTTGCCCCTAAGGAGTTGGAGAAGGCCACAGACAACTATCATGAGCATCGAATTTTAGGCCAAAGAGGTCAAGGAACTTTTTTAGAATGTTGACAGATAGAAGAATTGTAGCTATCAAGAAATCAAAGGAAGTGGACCAGTGCAGACTAGAAGAATTTATCAACGAGATTGTAATTTTGTCACGAATTGGCCATAGAAATGTTGTTGGTTATTTGGATGTTGCTTGGAGACCGAAGTTCCTTTACTAGTCTATGAGTTCAACCCTAAAGGAACTCTCTTCCAACATCTACATCATCCGAAGGGAGAGTTTCCTTTTACATGGGAAATTTGTTCAAGGATTGCTGTAGAAGTTGCTAATGCTGTATCTTATCTGCATTCAGCAGCTTCCATACCTGTTTATCATCGCGACATATAGTCCACAAACTTACTTTTAGATGATAAATATAGAGCCAAAGTGTCAGATTTTGGAACTTCAAGATCACTTGCCATTGATCAAACTCACTTGACCACTCTTGTATCGGGAACTATTGGCTACCTTGATCCAGAGTATTTACAGTCAAATCAGTTAACCGAAAAGAGCGATGTACGGACTTTGCAACCCCAACCGGAGATGTACAGAATTTAGCAGCATATTTTCGACAGTCAATGGAAGAGAATCGTTTGTTCGAAATCGTTGATGCTGGAGTTCTCAAGGAGGGTAGAAAAGAAGAGATTACAGCAGTCGTTAAGCTAGCAAGAAGATGTTTAGACTTGAATGGCCAGACAAGACCCGGCATGAAGACTACCGCAAAGGATTTGGAAATGATCAGAGCTTCACAAGGAGCTTCTTCTGCCATTCAAGAAGAAACTTGAAGGGGTTGATTACACTGGAGGTTACATTACTGTGCCATGGAATGCTTCATCAACTGCAACTGGACAATGTTAGAATACTGGCACTGTATCTGTGCAAATAGATAGGCAGCCACATCTACTTTAAAATTTCCCTCCGATGGAAATGTTGGCCCTTTTCTTCAATGACGACTCATCGCATCAGCTAATAGAATAAATTATTTTTCCCAGCCTTGGACTGTATATATATATATATATGTTGGTAACTATAAGAGATCAGTGTTATTTATGTTCTTGACCAATGACATGATTTTCAACTGTATGAATCAATATTTTTCACTCGAATAAACATTAATATTGCAACTAATTACCCGAACTAACTTCCCAGGTCACGTATTGCATGTAACACACTGAATCCTTTCCGGTTTTTTTGTGTTTCGGCAACTCAATGCTCAATTGAACTCGAGCGACTGCACAGGAGGATCGAGAATCCGAAGCATCGAAGATCTCAGCTGGCTATAAAAATTAAGAAACATTCTTTAAAGTGTCATTAATTCTTGGCAAAATGTCAAGAGGATGCATATCTAAGCACTGTGTATTGGACGGAAATTGGATTTAGGGATCATATTAAAAATGTTTCTTGAGTAGAGGACAAGACTAGAAACAATCAAGAGTACAGGGACCACATAAATATAAACCTCTCTGGTTGTAGGCTTTAGCAGGGGGGGGAGGGTTTATCAGAAACAAAAACGACTGATGTTCTAAACCACCCCCCAAAAAAAAATGCTTATCTTGTCATCCCCTCTTCAATCCCAGAGCTTTGCCTTATGGTGCCAAATATCTCCACACTCCAACTCTTTGCCTCCATTTCTAAAGCAGAAGAAGAAGCAGTCTAAAATAAACGACACGCCACTGATCCTTAGGAATCATGCTCATACAAAGAGCACAAAAAATGACATTGATTTTGACTTCCAGAATGACTTTCCATCATCATCGCATAATCCAAGCGGAGAAGAAAAGGATTATGATAAAGACCCTGAATTTGCTGACATTCTTGGTTCTTGTCTTGATGACCCTCTCAAAGCTCGCTCTAAAGTATGTTCATCTTTTTTCTCTCTCTCTTTTATTAGTTTTTTTATAGTTTGTGTAATGAATATCACTGCCTTGCCTTATGTTAGTTGATTAATGGAAGTGAGCAATAATGGGTTTGTAGATGGAAGAAAGATTGAGGCGTAAAAAGAACAAGATTTTGCACGCAAAGACAGGTTCTGCTAAACCCATGAAGGTTACTTTCAACAAGTAAGATATTCAATCTGTTTAAT